ATCTCCCTGCGTCATTCATTTGCTTTGACTGGATGCATATTTATTTTGTGTCTGGTATATTCGACAGAGAAGTAAAAGCACTTTTAGGGCATGCGCAGTTCAAGTGTTTGTGTGATGCAATGGAGTTGCATGAGTATTTCATGAAGTGGACGTGGCCGAGTAAACACCACTCAGCCGCAACTGTATGGGAGACTGGTGAGCTCCAAGCAAGTGCCTCAGAAGAGATCTCTGCGTTGCCTGTTTTGTGCAGGTATATTCGGCAAGTAATTGCCATGCATCCTTCATCGGATCAAGTGGCCCCCCAGATCGCAAGTATGCTGGCATTGCAAGATGCCGTTGACATAATCATCACGGCGGCGCGGCGGCTTCCAGTCACGACCGCGCAGATAGAGTCAGCGATAGTGAAACATCTTCGGTGCCATCAGGACGCATATGGTGAAAGCTATTGGGTGTATAAGCACCATATGGCAACACATTTGCCAGAAATGTTTGAAAAACATGGGCCGCTCAGTTGCTTTGTCCAGGAACGCAAGCACAAAAACGTAAAACGTTTCGCCAAAGACCACATGTGCAAGAAGGGGCCAGAGAAGGCTCTCATGGTTCAACTCACTGCGCAGCACGCGCACGATTTAAAGACCATGCGTGTTTCACCTGGCTTAGTCGACCCAACGAAAGCAACACAGAAGCTGCTGAATGCGTTGAAACGCATGTGCCCTGGGACGCAGACAGCCGTCTCCAGCATCGAAGCCATGACAGATTTCGGCCGCATCAAGCGCGGTGATATCGTACTTCTGGGGTCGGGCGGGATGCATGCAGCAATGCAAGTGTGGTTTCACGTGAAATGCGACGATGGCGAGTCGCAGGTGCTTGTCCAGCAGCTTGCAACTAAGCATGTGAACGCCGCTGAAGGTTTTTCCAGACACATCTTTTTAGATGATACAGACCCTGTTCTGATGCCTCTGACCTCGCTGAAAGCTCCTGTGATTTACAGGAAAATAGAGAACGACATCACGTGCATTTGGCCAGTAGAATACAAATCGCGATGTTGCTAACATGATGCGCTGCGGACCGTCGCGTTTGCCCCAGGACGATAAAAACATCTGAAGGCCCCTGAGCAGATCCAAATCGACGAAGCGCCCAATCATGATGCCCCAATTTCCAACTACATGAGATGCAACAACATAACATAAACATTTTTTTTTAAAAAAAAAAAAACAGCTTCAAACTGGCCAAACCTAACTAGTTATAACTCCGTTAATAACAATTAGAAGTTCCGCTAACTGTTACTAACTACGCAGGGCCTTCAGGCAGGCGCGCCCGTTGCCAGCGGCGAGAGCCGGCCCGAGACTGTCGACGAAGATGAAAATCGGTCGGGCGACAGCGTCTCGACTGCGAAGGAGATGGCGAAACGCCGAGGACGGAGCCAGCCCGTCGAGACCGAGGATGTCAGCACCGGCCCCCCATTGGATGCCCTGGACCACCTGCCGGCGACCTAGGTGCGCCAAGTCGGGATCCACCAATTCGAACGAATCAGCGACCGCGTGCGCCTGCGGCAGGCCGGCGGCGAAGCCGATATCTTGCCGCCCTCGGCGGCGGAGTCGGGCTCGCCGCCAGCGGCTGCGCCGGCTGCCGGCGGCGAGGGGCCAGCGGCGGCGGCGTCCGCGGCGCCCTCGGCGAAGAATGCGCGTTCTCGCGCGGCGGCGGCACCTGCCGCGCGACGCCGCCAGCGCTCGGAACTCGGAGACGCGCCTGAGGCGGCTGCCTCGGAGGACATGCGATGGCGCCGACAAACCCCGCGGCCCCCGTGCGAGGCGTCGCTGGCGGCGACAACGCCGCGTCAGCGAGCGCCAGTGCCCGCGACCAGCAGCGGGGGCAGGCCCGCGACGATGGCCAGCTCACGCCGCACAGGCGGCCACGGCTCTACGAGGCGGCACTCGCCACTGCGCGCGAAACCGTAAACCGCCGACAGCGCGGGCAGAGAGCGACGCCGAAGCAACGCGACCGAGGTCAGGTGACCAATGGGGATGTCCATGTCGTCGCGGCTGCACAGCCCTTTAGCCGAGCGCTCCGTCAGGGCGGCCCCCGACCGCCAGATCCGCTCGCGCGAGTCGCGCGCGGTGAGGCCCGAGGGCTGCGCATGCGACGACGACGCGCCGGTCTCGCCCACGCGCTGCCCCGCGGATGCGACCGCGTGCTGGGGCCCGCCCATCGCCGGGAAGTTGCCCGCGCGGCGCCAAGGGGCACCCGCGGCGCTGGGGGCGCGGCCGCGGCCCGGTCGCTGACGAGACCGCTGCCCGCCAGGACCCCCCGCCGAGCGCCCTCCTCCACCGCGAGCTGACAGGAGGCGAAGCGCCCGACTCCGCCCGATGGGGAGGACAGCAAGGCGCGGGGCGAGCGGGGCGCCGGGCCGGGCGGGGCGGCCATCGATGGACCGAGCACTTGGAGGAGGCGCGGAAGACAGGGTCGGAGCACGGGCGCGCTGGCCCCGACGCATCGCGAAGCCAGTCGGCGCCATCAGCGCTGCGACGCGAACTGGCAAATTGATCCCAAGACCGCGCGTGTGCTCCGGGGCGAGCGCGGCGGCCAGAGCGACGGGCGCGGCGCCCGTGTCGGGCCGGGGCGCCATGTCCTTGCCGTAGGGCGAGGAGCCGCCATTCGCGATGGCGTTCTGGCTGAGCTCTGCAGGCGCCCGCGGGTGCTCGCGTCTCGCGGCGGGGGGCCCAGGGCGACGCAGTTGTCCGGGGCGCGCTCCTTCGCGAGCGCCCGCGCAGATGCGTCGCTCCGAGAAGGCCCGTCGCACGAGCGGCCCGCCAAGGTGCTGGGGGAGAAGACCGCGTCGTTCGCCCAAGTCGGCGCTGCGCCGGGGCCGCCGCCGACGGCGCTGCAATCCTCGCGAGCCGCCCGGCAGCCGAACGGGCGCGTGGAGCAAGGGGAGAAGGACAATGTCTAGCTTGCCACTAGCCGCCACGGGCCACGCGCGAGCGGCCCGCGCTGGGGGCCCCCGCTCGCGGCCAGGGCGCGCGCGGCAGCCCTGATCAGTCGAGATGCGACGGCGCTCGCGCGTCGTCGTCGCCTCCGCGGCGCGTCGTCGGCGGTGGGTCGGCGAGCGCCCGCGCCTCCCCGGCCTCGCGGCGCCCTGCGAGTGCGGCATTATCGGACAGCGCCTGCTTCGCCGCCCACTTCGAGAGGGCGGGGCGGGCCATGATCCAGCGGGCGTTCTGCGACCCAGTGAAGCAACAGTTCTTGTCGTGCGCCTGGTGCCATGTCGCGTTCGTCGAGAGGATCCAATTCTCGAGTCTCTCCTCGAACGGTTGGAGCTGCCTGCAGACGAGCTCCGCCGAGGCAAGGTTGCTGACTTCGACCCACGCCGCCGCCTGGAAGACCTTGGACAGCTCCGAGTGGAGCAGCATGGCGCGATCGTCAAGCCCAAGACGGCAAGCTGAGCGAAACAAGACATCGTGGATGACCGCCGAGCCGACTTCTCCCACATGGATCTCGCGCACCAGACGACTGTCAATGGGCCGGGCGCCACCCAAACGGGCCACGACTGCAGCCGCGTCGCCTTGTCTGCGCCACGAAGCTCCTTGTGCCGCTTGCCCGTTTGCCCTCCGCGTCGCAGGACACCGCCAGCGTGCGAAAGTCGTCGCCCGCCGGCGCCAGCGCTGGGCTATAAGACCAGCGCGAAGGCGGTATGGAGACTATCAGGCCCAGCGGCGGCGCCGCTGGCGCCGACTGTCCCTGGCGCGAGGGCCCCTGCCATGTGCGTGGGCGCGGGCGCGGCTGCAAGGGTTCCCCCGACGGCGGCGTGGGCGGCGGCGGGTCCCGCTCCGGCGAAGCTGGCGAGTCCAGCCGGGGCGGCCGCCAGGCCCGCGGCCCCGCACGCGGCAGCGGCGGCAAGTTGAGGCCCCGGGGCTCCGGCTGCCACGACACCTGCGCCAGCGCCAGCACCAGCGGGGACGACGGCGTGCATGACACCAGCGGCAGCAAACGCTGCGTCGTGCTCGGCGGCCGGCCGAAGGGCGGCGAGACGCAGAGCGACGAAGACGGCCACCATGAACGCGACGGCGAAGCTGGACACCGGGACCCCTAATTAGAGCTGGAAAGCGCCCAACTCCAGGCGCGCGACGGTACCAAACCATGGCATCCGTGCTGCCAGCCCCCAGCTCTTCCACACACAAGTCATCGTGTGGGGGCGCCCACCACGCAATCAGTCGGGCGAAGCTGAGACACAAGACAGACACTACGACCGTGCAACGGGCGCGGCTGCTCCGCATGCTCGGTAAACAAACCGTTGCCATCTGTCATCTATTCTAGATGCTTCCGCAACAAGGTTGCACGTGCTGCCAAGGCGCGCGGCCGCCCGCTGGCGGCGTCGACGGCGCCAGAGGCGGCGGGCTGGCCCTGGCGCGGCCGCGCTGGTCCGCTGGACCGGCCGGCGGCCGCGGCGCGCAAACCCGTGCTTCAGCCAAAGGAGGATTGCGGCGGCGGGCCGCCCGCGAGACGATGGTGAGTGGGTGACCCGAGAGCAATCTAGGCCAGGAGGAACGCTCGAAGCAAGACTTGCCCATCCTGGCCGCATCTCGAAAGAAAAGGCGATGGTGCAGATACAACGTGAGCTCAGCTGCGGGCGGACGTATCTGGCGGCTCTCATTATGCCTCTGAGTGAGAGTTCAGAGAACGACCATCAGCATCACCACCACCACCACCACCACCACCATCACCATCACCATCACCATCACCATCACCATCACCAGTCACCAGTCACCATCAGCACCATCAGCAGCAACATCAGCATCCGTCCTCCTCATCGATATCATCCCTCCTCAATCCCTCCTCCTCCTCCTCCTCCTCTTCCTCCTCCTCCTCCTCCGACTTCTCCATCTCCTCCCCCTCCTCCTCCTCCCCCTCCTCCTCCTCCTCCTCCTCCTCCGCCTCCTCCATCCCCTTGTCCTTCCTCCCCTCTCCTCCTTCGCCTCCTCCTCACTCGTCCCGCAGCTTGCCTGGGAGCTGGCCGCCGCCCCCGAGAGGCTCGCCACCAGCGCCGCGGGGCCGTCGTCCTGGACCTGCCTGTTGAACGCAAACTTGGGGGGCGCGTTGAACTCGTTGCTGGCCACAAGGAAGTAAGGAAGGGGGAGGAGGATGACTGTGCAAGGAGGGAGAGGAGTCAGGAGGCAACTCCTGTGAAATCCTCGTCAAAACGATTCAATCTGAGGCCATCAAGCTGGATTGGGCTAAAGCAAACCCTATATTCAGCAATATTGGGCGGGACTCAGCTGGATGAAGCGGTATTGCACCAGATTCGGCAAGTTTTCGACCAGGGATATATACCACCGCCAATTCTGAAAGTAACCTCCCAGGAGTTGCATCCTACGGGAGTGAGGGAAAAGGAGGAAATAGGAGGAATGATGAGGGGAGGAAATAGGAGGAATGATGAGGGGGAGGGCGTGAAGGGAGGAGGGAGGAAGGGGGGGAGGGGCGGATGAGGGATGAACGAATAAGATTTTGAAGGTGTTTCGTCTTCTTCGCCTCTGAAGTGCCCGGGGGCCGCTTGAGGCCTCCGCTGGGGACCTTCGACCTCTGGAGGCCTCTTGAGACCCATCTTCCTCGTCTTCCCTCGTCGTCCATTTATCGGCCTCTGCTGGGGGTCCCCCTTGTTGCCGCTGCAGGACGCGGCCCGGACAACTTGTCAAGACACCACGTAGGGAAGTTCGGAAGCAGGAGGAGAGAGGGAGAAAAGACACAACGAAGTACCGCTGGTTTGCGCTAGACGGGCGCGTGAACAGGGCAATATCAATCAGCAGTGGATCGGGCAATCGGATCGAATAAAGATGTGCGTAGAATCGTGCTGCATCGGCACGGAAACGATATCAGATCGGATCAGCTGCGCCAGAATGCGCGTGCATAACACGCCGTGCGAAACATCTGGCCGCATCGGATCCTCCTCATGTCGAACCGAATCGGATCGAACCGACCAGAATCGATAATGAATCGAATCAATCGGATCGAGGCGGACCTTGTCCGACAACGTCGCCCCATCATTGACCTCGGCCCACCCTGCGCCCATCTGTGCTCCTGGCGCTTGCCGAACACCTCCTCCATGGCAGCCGCCGATGCCGACAGGAGCTCGCCGTCGGTGCTGGGCCGGTTCGCTGCCCGCCGCCCTGTTGCGCTCAGGGCTGGCGGACTGAACTGAAAGTAAGTGCAAAGTGCCCGCCTTCATTCGCGCCGCTCGCCTGCGCGCGTTCGTGCCGTCGAGGATGCCCGCCGCCATCTGCTGGGCGTGCCTCGCAGGTCGCAGCAACGCGCGCGCTGCGCTCGCAAAAAAAACAAAAAAAAAAAAAAAGAAAAAAAAAAAAAAAAAAAAAAAAAAAAAAAAAAAAAAAGCTGCGCGGCCGCAGAAACCCCCAGACTGTCTGAACTTCAACCAGAAGGTAGCCTGCAGGGCCTCCAGCTCCAACGCGCACGTCCATGCAGAGCCCACCTCTTCGGGGGAAACTGGGAAGATTCGCCAGCGCCAGCGCGGCGCTTCGATGCCCCTCCTCGGCCGGCCCGAGGGGCGGAGGAGGGCGCCGGCAGCCTCTGACGAAGGCGCCCTGACGAAGCTATCGCAGACGAGCCAATGGGCGCCCCCAGCTGCACGGCGAGCCGCGGCCTTGCCGCTGCCCGCCTCCAAGTTGGCGGCGCCCTCGCTCGCATTGCCACTTAGCACTCCTGGGCGGAGGCGGGGCCCGCCGCGGGCCGTCGGCCGCCCGGGCCACGGCGGCGAAATTGCCATGACGGGCGCCGAGAAGCAATTGCCTCGCAGTCCGCAGCTCGCGTCCTCAGCGGCCTGCTTGTCCGCGGGTGCTCGCTTGCTGCGGCGGCCGCGCGGCGGCCCCGCGGGCGCCCTGGCCCGGCGCCCTTCTCTCCGCGGCTCAAAAGCTAGACGCTTCCATCGGGCATTCTGACTAGGCTGCCCTTCTTAAGCCGGCAGGGCGCGCGCCCGTTGTCGTCGGCCCCCCAGTGGCCACATCGCGAATGGCCCGCGGGCCCGGAGGGGCAACGAGTGGATGGCGTCAGACGGTCGGGCGCATGCGCGTCGCGCAAATTCTGCCCTCCCCCCGCGGCCTCGCGGCCCCTCGCTCGACGCTCAGTCCGGGCCAGCCGCGGCCGCGCCCCGGGACGGACCCGCAACGAAACTCTGAGGTAGCGCCGAGCGGCCAAGTCAACCAGCGGAGCCTCGGCCTCCTGGCCAGACTGCACCCGCTGGCGCAGAGCTACACACGGGCGGGATCCAGCTTCTCACCAAAAGAGCCCCCCGTCTGCCTCCGCCATCGAGGCGGCTATCTCGACGGGCAAATGGGCTGCGACAGAGGGCGCGCCCGCGCGCGCTCGTGCGCGGCAGCGCGCGGGACGCGGCGGGCACGTTGCGCCCGCCCGTCCGCCCAGACAGCGGCCTCCACGCTGACATGTTCCACCCCCTGGCGCCGCGCGCCCCCCTGTGACAAGCGCCGCCTGAGAACGATGGCGTCGTCGAGGGCGGGCCCGTCGCGCGGGCCTGGTGGATCTGCGCCGCGCCCCCCAACTCGACGACGCTATGCCGCCAACTGCGGGCCGCGTGCCCCGCGGCCTCGTCGACCCCCGGCGCGGCGCGCACGGCAAGGTCGACCCCCGAGCGCCAGCGGGCCATCCTGGCGCCGGCGGCGCCAGCGACTAGCTGCGAGACCTGCGCAGCCACGGCCTACCCGACCCGGCCGGCGCAGCACCTGCTTCGCCGCCGGCGCAGCCCTGGGTACTGGGCACTCCGCGAAACAAGCGCCGCCGCCTGATCCAGAAACGCCGCTGCGCGCGATCCTCTCGCCGACTGACCTTGGCCCGCAAATTGCGGTCGCGCGGAGCCGGCCTGGCCCCCGCCGCTCCCCGCCCAGTTCGGCAATCCCTCGCCGCAAGGAACCGCGGGCCACTGCGCACTCGCGCCCGAAAACCGAGGCCCCCCAGCCTCTGGCGCTCGCGTTGAAACGCGCCGATCTTCGTGCTGAGCAGCGTCTGCAAGCGCCGCTAGGCCTGCCGGGGCCGGCCGAAGACGGGCGCGCCAACCGCGGCTTTGCGACGCGCCAGCTCAGCGGAGTCGGCGTCGTCGCAGTAGACCCGCCAGGAACAGCGCAATGCCTTCGATCCGCGCGGCAGGGCCGGCGCTGGGCGGCCCTCTCTGACCTCTCGCGCCTCGGGTGGGCCCTGCGCGACCAAGCCCTGGTCTGCGTGCATTCGCCCGCGGATGTAATGCGCCAGCACCATCGCACTACTGCAGCACATTGGCATCGCGACTGCGCCGAAGTAGACCTTGGACCCCGCTGGGCCGGGGTAGACCTTGGACCGCGACTGCGCGTAGACCTTGGACCTGGGCCGCGTAGCCCTGGACCTTGGACCTGGACCGCTTGGCCGCGTAGCCCGTAGCCCCGAAGTAGACCTTGGACCGCGACTGCGCGAGGCCGCAAGGCCAGTGGGGCGAACGCTGCGTCGGGCGCGAAGAGCGGCGCCCCGGCGTCGGGCCGGCGGACGCGGCGGAATGCGCCGATCGGGTCATCGATCGACCACGTCACCTCCTCGGCGGGGCCAACGATAATCGACTTCGCAGACGCTGCGCTCGCGCTCGCGCAGACCTCGCGCAGACCACGATAATCGACCAACCAGCAGGGGTCTCGCAGACACTGCGCTCGCGGAGGAAGCTCAAGCAGTTCGTCGCATCGAAGTTCATGGTCAGCCGCGGCGCCCCTCGACCCTCGATACCGCCCGCCGCGAGCTTTCCCTTGCCCGCGCGAAATAATCCAACCAGCAAGGACCTCAAGGGCACCCCTGCCACGGGAAGGAGGTGACTCTCTTGAGACCAGACCGCGCAAGAAAATAATAAAAAACATCTCGATGGGGCTCTATGGCTATGGGCAACAGCGAAGTGTCCTCGACCATGACCTCGCCGGGCCCCGGGCGCCCCCCCGCGCCCTCGAGAACCGCCAGCGCGCTCGCGCGGCCCAGGGGCCAGCGCTGCGCGCGGTCGTCGCGCAAGCCCACGACGCCGAAAAACGCGCCATGGCCTTCTTGCCACGGCAGCCCTAGGAACACCTGGCCCCGCGTGAGCGCATCAGCTCGCTGCGCCGCGTCGCCCGCGCAAGCCGCATCGCGCCTGGTCAAGAACTCGGTCGACGCCCTGGCCCAAGACTTCGTCGGGCCTGCCGCGCGTGCGCGCTGCGCCCGAGCCGCCTCGCGGCCGCGGCGCGCCGGCGCCGTTGGCTCTTGGCGCGGCGAGACGCTTCTCGAGCCCATCGCGCGCTGAGTTCCGTCTGGCGCGGCCCGCTTTGTGGACCTCCGGCGCGTCGTGGTCGACGCGCTCTCTGTCGTCGATCGCCCACTCTTCGTTTCCAGAAGCCCAGCAGAAGCCCTGCGTCCGCCGGCAACGAAGGCCCGCCGCGACCGCGCCGTCCCTTGCGGCGCCGCGCAAGAGAGAGAGGCATGGGGGGGCGCGCCGAAGGGCGTCGCGTTGAGCCCGCCCAGCTTGTTCAGCGCCAGGGGCGTGCGGGGTGGGCGCCCGCCACATGGAAAAAAGACACCACGGCTGCGCTGGCAATTCGCGCGGACACGGCGTCGGTGACACCCTGCCGACAGCTGGAGGGCGACGAGCGCGACGCAACTGGCGCCGCATCAGCGGGTGGGACAGCAGCGCCTCCGCTACAGCGGGGCGGTTGGGCGGCCGAAATTGCTACAGAAAGGAAGGAAAGAGAAGGCGGGAAGAAGAGACGCCTCACAGCTTGCGGGCGCTGCCGACATGGCTACAAACAGAAAGGGAAGAAGGGGATAGGAGCGGCAGAGGCAGGCGGCAGCGGCTCTTCTTTCTCCTTTTCCAATCATCCCCTCCCCCTCCACTACAAGATGTCTTAAGACAGGGTGCTGCGTGGATCCGCAGCAGTTGACGCCGGCGACGATGGCGACAGGGCCGACGACAGGACGACCGACGACGCGTGTTCGAGCGCGCTGCGAATTCCCCATGGAAGGGGGTGCGCAAAGCCGCCGTGGAGGAGGAGGGGGACGACGACGACGACGATGACGACAGACGTAGGAGACGACTCCACACACAAAGACTCTTCAGGAATTCACTAAGCAAACCCAATGCAAAATCCGACCCCTCCAGAAGGGACAAGAGCAAGCAGGCAAAATGACTTTCAAACACCAACCCCTCCAAATCATCAAGCAAGGAAGCAACAATGTATTCCCAAACCACCTTGACGAAACAACTGAAACAGCAGACGGACTAAAACTCCGAACGAACATGATGAATAATATGTTTCATTTCTCTTTCGGCACGCCCCCGACGCCAGGCCCCTGCGCAAAACACCGTCTCGAATAACATTGCCGAATAATGCGTTCGAGTTCTTCTTCGGTGCGCACTGGCCGCCGGGGCCCCACGCGCAGCATGGCCCCGAACGACAATGATGAGTAATGTGTTCAGTTTATGCTTCGGCGCGCCCCCACCGCTAGGACCCCGCACAAAGCACGATCCCGAACGACAATGACGAATTTTGCTTTCGATTTTTCCTTTGGCGCGCCCCTGCCACGGGACCCCCGCGCGGAGAACTACCCCGAACGACAATGACGAATACTCCGTTCAAGTTCTGATTTTGTACGCTCCCGCAGCCGGAACCCCGCCCAGATCACAGCCCCGAACGACAATGCCGGGTAATGCGTTCAAATTCTGCTCCGGTGCACCCCGCCGCCAGGGCCCCGCGCGGACCCCGGCCTCAGGGGCCCGAAGATGCCCACGAGAGGCCCCGAAATTTTCCGAGACGGCCCCGAAGCTGTCCCCACGTATCCACTAGATGGCCCCAGGATAGCGAGCTCCCTCATGGCTCCCTGGAGCCGCGCAGTCCGCGAGAGCTTCCCAGGGCCTCTCACAGACTCGCAGGGGTTCCCCAAGACTCCGCTGGCCGCTCAGTGCCTCCCGAAACTGCGCAGAACCCGCCGAGGCCCACCCAGACTCCGCAATGCCGCCCAGGACTTCTCGATGCCTGGCGCTCGGGGGTCGGCGGCAAGTAGCCCCATTCAGGGATTGCTCCCCGCAGCCGCCAGAAGCTCCGTTGGAACCTCGGGGGAGATCGGGGGAGCCCCAGGGCGCCCCTCAAGGTGGCCCCAGAAAGCCCGCAGATGCAGCAAAACCAAGGCCACCAAAACAGCCAGCAAGCAAACGGCCCCGACGCCCTTACCCCTTCCTAAAACAAAAAAAAAGCAAGCAGATGCCGGGACAGACCCTTGCACTTGAAAGCCTGAGTCGCCTCCCTTATCTCCGAAAGCTGGTGTTTGTTTATGCAGCTATCTGTTGCTCGATACCGAGACACCTTTTCGTGAGCGGCGGCGTGGTACACCAAGCGTCGGGCAGCAACAGCCGGGGCGCGGCAGAGCTGCCTGCGCACCGAAACAGCTGGGAGAGAGAAGCGCGGCCGCGGTGGAGGGAGAAAAAGAACACCACGCTCAAAGAAAAAAGGAAAACAAGCTGTCCGGTGGATCGGCTTCAAGGTGCAGCCCGCCACCCGGGATTTGAAGTCGTCGTAGCATGTCGACGTGGTGATGGCCCGCTTTTTCGCGTCGTCCACCTTGTCGCGCTTCCAGTCGTCCTCAGAGGCGTCGCTGGCTCGTGTTTTTCCTCCCATAAGCGAATTGCAATCATATCGTGTAGCTGCTCGCTGGAAAGTCGAGATCATGCACCGATCGTGGAAATGTACGTACGACCGCCAGAAATGCGAGCGTTCTGCTGCGGAACCCGCCCGTGCCCATCAGGCCAAGGCGCGGAGGCCGTAGCCTCGGATGGTAACCCCTGAGTGCTCCCAGCGGACAAGTCTAGATTATTGCCTGCCCATTGCCATAGAGGCTCCCCAACCTCCAAAGAAGATCCGAAAACTGGGCTTGGATACACATGAATTGTTTCATGTTTGTGCCAGGTCTCAAACACGAAATGGCACGTTGCAATGCAATACGTTCTCCATGAGGAGCTGTTACAGCACAAATGCCCCGCCGACGGGCGGGACACCCGAAAACTGGGTGTGAAAAACACGTGTTTCACTTGCATTCTGGGCCTCAGCATGAGGTTCAACATTGCCAGGTAATGCGCACCGCGCTCACAGCACCGGAGACACACGGACTGGTGGATCACCAGAGAACTGGGTGTGACAGAGAATTTGTTTCACTAGCGTTCAGGGCCTCCACATTAGGCCCATCATTGCCAGAAAATACTTCCCCCGTGTGGCGCGCTCACAGCACAAGTGGCTGCCTCTGACTAGCGGGCCGTCTGGAGATCCGGTGTGGAAGACAAGTGTCTTCGCTTGAACTCTGAGCCTCAACATGATGCCGCGTACTGCTAGGTAGTACATACCACGTATGGCGGGCTCGCAGCGCAAGCGACCCATGCATGGGTGGGCCACCCGAAGACTGGGTACTGCAGGTTCGTGCCGTGTCGACCCTGGCGTTGGTTCCTGACACCGCGCTGGATCGGTCAACCTTGAACGATCGGCCGTCTCCGCAACGTCCGATCGTTCAACGTTGAACGTCGGCGGCGGGGTCGCCGCCGGTCGACACGACGCGAACCTACCGTATGAAAAACACATCGTTCCGCTTGCATCCGGGACTCGCCTGCGCGTTGCTGCGCTCGTGGCCCGAGCGGTGCAGTGTTGCCAGCCCCGCGGAGGCGCGCTCCTCGGATCCGCCGCGCCTTGCATCGCTCGGGGCCTCCCCCGCCCCTCCTCCTCCTCCCGATCATCAGCTGGCCCCCCTGCGCCTCGTACCCTCGACAGAATGAACATCGAACGTGTGTTACGCAGCTGCCTCGTCGATCTGATGTTCTGGGTTCGGGTGACATTGTGTGCCGACTACATGTTGGCGCCCCCCCCCCAATGTCGGCCATCGCTGAACTTCCGAGTCGCACCCGCTCAGACCACTTTTGCGTGTGCGTCGACACGGAAGGGGGTCGACATTGAAAGGGCGAACGGGGGCGAAATTGAAGGGGTTTGTCAACCATGTTTGAGGTTGATTTTGTCGAGCGTTGTAGAGCCCTCGAAATCCGCCGACCCTGTCGGCGTGTGTGAGGGGCTCTTCCGTTCGAGTCAGGCTTTCCCGTTCGACTCGTCGTCGCCATCTTCCTGAGTTCCACTGACCTGGGCCTCAGACAAGCCGTTCTCGTCGCCGTCTTCCTGAGTTCCACTCACCTGGGCCTTCTTCCTCGGACAAGCCGTCTACAGCGAAATTGAGCAACGCAGTTCAATCGAAGGAAAGCCCCTTCCCTTTGATCCCTTCCCCACGCGGGGGGTGGTGGTCCTGGGGGGGTCCTGGGGGGTCCCGGGGGGGGGTCCCAGGGGGTCCCGGGGGGGGTCGCCACCCAGATTCGTTTTCCTGCGCGGAAACAGCAAGGCCAATAAGAGCTCCAAGACGAGCCAAGAGCGCCCCAATACATCCCCACGACGGTACAAGAGCGCAACGCATCCACGAGCGATCGCCCCGAGACGTTCAATACTGCCCGAGAACGGCCCGAGCGTGGGGGTCCCCTGTGGGGCCCGGGGGAGGTCGCCACCCAGATTCGTTTTCCTGCCCGGAAGTAGCAAGGCCAATACCAAAACAAGCCAAGAGTGCCCCAAGAGGCCCCCGAGACGGTCCAGGAGGGCCCCCCATCGCCACACGATCGGTCCAAAACGCCTTCACGCTCCCAGACTGCCCAGGAGACCTCCAAGACGCCCCTAAGAGGCCTCCAAAGGCACTCCCGAGAGGGTCACACGAGGCAAAACTCATTGATGCTCCGTATGGTTTTGACGGTGGGCGCTCTCGCCTTTTCCGCTTCCCGCCCCTCCAAGGCGGCCGACGAGGCCCTCAAGATCGCCCCAAGACGGCCCAAAAGGCGTCCAAGAGCGCTCCAAAACATCCCAAGAGAACCCCATGACAGCCCCAAATGCTTCCAAGACGGCCCAAGAGGCCCCCAAGGCGGCTCCAAGAGCGCGCCTTGACGGGGAACCCGAACGAACATTTCGAGCCCTCGGCCCCGAGAAGCTCCCAGGAGGCCCCAAGAGGTTCCCAAGAGACCCCAAGAAGTCCACAAGAGACCCCCAGGATACCCGAAAAGGCCCACAAGAGGTCGCCGCCGCCACCGCCGCTGTCGTCGACGCCCCCCTTCAGGGTCGGCGGCGGCCCCAGAAATTCCCCAGAATTTTCCGACGAATTCGAACACAGCCTTCAGAGAAAGCCCCCGGAAGCTCCTGCAAGCCTGCGTCAAGATGCCATAACTTTGAAAAGCCTGCACAGAATCCTCCTGAATCCTCCTCCTCCTCCTCTTCCTCCTCCTCTTTCACCTCCCCTGGACCTCTCCTGCAGCGCACTCTGGCCAGAATTGTAAGGCGACTCCAGCCGTGACGACCGAAGGCACCCTAAGGGGGCAACACACATCCGCCACTGTACCTGCACGGAGTGGACGTGTTAGAATACTCCTTTGTTGCCTGGGAGTTTTTCCCAAGCATCCTGTGGTGTTGGGTCCTCGTTTTGAAGAGACGGTCCCCGCGTTCCCTCTCTCCATCCTTCCCTCCCTCCTTCCTTCCTCCTCCCCTCCTCCCTGCACCGCCCAAATGCGTCACGCACGCCTACTTCGGCACACCCCTCACACGTTTCGTGGCCCCATGAGGAGCTCCACCGAAGGCCCCAGTGCCACCGCCCGCATGCGTCACGCACACCCACTTCGGATCACACCCCAAACGCTTCGTGGCCCCATAGGGAGCTCCACCGAAGGCCCCAGCGTCACCGCCCGCATGCGTCACGCACACCCATTTCGGCACGCACACCCCAAACGTTTCGTGGCCCCATCGGGAGCTCCACCGAAGGCCCCAGTGCCACCGCCCGCATGCGTCACGCACACCAACTTCGACACACCCCTGAAACGTTTCGTGGCCCCATCGGGAGCCCCACCGAAGGCCTCAGCGCCACCGCCCGCATAAGTCACGCACACCCATTTCGGCACACACATACACCCCAAACGCTTCGTGGCCCCATGGGGAGCTCCACCGAAGGCCCCAGCGCCACCGCCCGCATGCGTCACGCACACCCAATTCGGCACACCCCTCACACGCTTCGTGGCCCCATCGGGAACTCCACCGAAGGCCCCAGTGCCACCGCCCGCATGCGTCACGCACGGCACACCCCTCACACGCTTCGTGGCCCCATCGGGAGCTCCACCGAAGGCCCCAGCGTCACCGCCAGCATGCGTCACGCACACCCACTTCGGCACACCCCTCAACCGTTTCGTGGCCCCATAAGGAGCTCCACCGAAGGCCCCAGCGCCACCGCCCGCATGCGTCACGCGCACCCATTTCGGCACACACCCCAAACGTTTCGTGGCCCCATCGGGAGCTCCACCGAAGGCCCCAGTGCCACCGCCCGCATGCGTCACGCACGCCCACTTCGGCACACCCCTCAAACGTTTCGTGGCCCCACAAGGAGCTCCACCGAAGGCCCCAGCGCCACCGCCCGCATGCGTCACGCACGCCCAATTCGGCACACCCCTCAACAGTGAGGGCCACGGGCAGATTCAAATGAGACCTCGCCATCCCTGGGGGGGTGCGATCGGTGAAACTGTCGCCATTTTCGAGGCCTGCTGAGGGGCGCCAAATTAGACCTCGCCAGGGGGGCTGCGATCTGTGAAACTGTCGCCATTTTCGAGGCCTGCTGGGGGGCCCAGCACAGTGAGGGCCACGCGCGGATTCAAATTAGACCTCGCCATCTCTGGGGGGGCTGCGATCTGTGAAACTGTCGCCACTTTCGAGGCCTGCTGGGGGGCCCAGCGCAGTGACGCCACGGGCATATTCAAACGAGACCTCGCCATCTCTGTAAGGAGCTCCACCGAAGGCCCCAGTGCCACCGCCCGCATGCGTCACGAAACCCATTTTGGCACACCCCTCACACGTTGCGTGGCTCCACCAGGACCGTAGATGGACAATATATTCGAACCCTCACACATTCGAGGGAGATTCTGAATCACCCCCGCGCCCCCGACATCAATGTTGATCTCAGCAAAGGCGGTGCTTTGGGGTTCGAATATTTCTGTCCACTCACGCCCCCCCCGTCGCCACGCCATCAATATTAAATTCGGGGGTTCGGGGGGGCATCTTGGGCCACAGGGTATAATCCCCCATTTGTGCAGGTGGGAGTAGGGAGGAGGGAGAGGAGGAGACTGTACAGATGCCACAAACGTCAGCATTACAATCATAATCGCCCTCATCGGCGGCATCATCTCCACCATCATCATCATCATCATCATCATCATCATCATCATCATCATCATCATCATCATCATCATCATCATCATCATCATCATCATCATCATCATCATCATCATCATCATCATCATCATCATCATCATCATCATCATCAGTATCAGCATCATCAGCAGCAGCATCATCATCACCCACAACCCTCAAGGAGGAATGAGGAACAGGAGGGAGGAGGGGGGGAGGAGAACGAGGAGAAGGAATAGGAGGAAGATGGAGGTTCCGCTCCTGGGCGTAAGACGCTGGGGCAAGGGGTGAGACGTTTCAGGAGGAGTGCGGAAGGGTCTGGAGGAATGGGAGAACCCCACAGGATTGGGAGG